ACGGCGACGACAGACGCAGATGATGGCTATATGTACAGACACATCTGTGTCTGTACATAAAAACAGCATGAATTCCCTTAAAATGACCCAATCATGCTGATTTTCGAACTTCACCTGCGTATTATGAATATTCATCGGTTCTGTAAGTTTCAATCCAAAAGGTAAAATGGTTTTCCACTTATCGTGTTATTGGTGCTGTATATATGCTGAAAAAAGTGAAAAAACAGCATAAATTCCCTAAAAATGACCCAATCATGCTGATTTTCGAACTTGACCTGCGTATTATGAATATTCATCAGTTCTGTAAGTTTCAAGCCAAAAGGTAAAACCGTTTTCCACTTATCGTGTTATCGGTAAAAGTGCACGCCAACGGCAACGGCGACGACAGACGCAGGTGACGGCTATATGTACAGACACATCTGTGTCTGTACATAATAAAGGCAATACAAATGTTTTCAACAGATCTGCCATTTGAAGGTCTTTATCATTATGAAAGGAAGTGCTGTATAAAGCAAGGTGGTATCTTCAGCAAATGTTGACATCAGAGATAACATCTGAACTCACAGTGGATGGTTTTTGAACTCTGTTATACTTGTGGGAAATGGCTGCTTCAGTTGCTGCACTGTAAATACAAAATTTAATATATGAACATTATATTTGACTGTGTGTTGCCTTACATCTATATTTTGCATGTCAACTTCTATCTACTAATGATTACACTTCTAAACAGTTTTAAACAAGTAGGAAAAGAAACTGTGTTTCATGACATTATGTTAGTCTAAGAAGTGATATTCTGCCAAATTACATTGTGCAAAGAATGATAGTGTTTCACTGGAAGATCTCACAAAGCCATTGTGTTAGGTGTGAAGACCTCACAAAGACATTGTGTTAGTTGAGACAGAGTCCTAAATTCCAAGTTTTCCCCTCACTTTGCAGATGTTCATTCTCCCTCATCTCTCTGTGGAGGTTGGTTGACCTGTACGGGCCCAGCGTCTCTGTCCACCACTCCTGGTCAGTGCGGAGTTTACGAGTGTGCGATGAAAATTTAGAGACATATTTCTGTGTCAAATCTCTCATGCTTCCATCTGAAAAAAAAAAAAGCAATGTTATCAATCTATTCACAGAACAGTTCTTAAAGCTGCAAATATACAAACTAAGGTACTTCATACTGGTTCTGCCATATTTGTCAAGGAAACCTGGAAATTATTATAGATTTTACTATTTGATATGAGAATACGTAGGTGAAAAAATTCAAATTCAAAATGGAACTCAATCTCTAGCATCTTTACCATTTTCGAATCCCAGGATATAGCTGATAGGCTGCGTTGCATTTCTCTCCAGCTCATGTGGCTTGGGAAGTCTTTTGTTTACGCAGTCAATGCCTGGAATATATCACAGAGAATTATTACAGATTAAATTACCGAACAATGCCACTTCTACAACAGATCACTCCGAGTACAAAAGACAGCACCTTCCTTTAACTAGTTGACAGGTATGTCATCTTACCTGGATTAAGAAATCTACCCAATTGTGTACATATTGCAAATCATATCGTCATCATACTCTCTCTTAATATCAGGCAAACTTTTAGGTTGTAAGAAAAAACGAGGAGCATATTGATGGTGGTTTTACGACTGGGATCTAGTGGCTGCCTAATGTGGAAAAAAGCCAAAGAAAATTCGGACATCTGATTTAAATTAAAAGAAAATAGTCAACTCCATATGTTATTGTATTATCAATGCTACTGGCAACCCTGTGAACACTATTATAGTAACTTACATATCCACTGTCCATCTGACTCCAAGTACACCTCCACCCACTGGTCTGAGCCTGGAGATAGGAAGAGATTGTGGGAATAGCAGTGTATATGTGATCACATGTAATGTAATGTAATGTAATGTAATGTAATGTAATGTAATGCAAAAAGTTCTGTCACAATATAATATAGTAGAATAAACAACATAACACAATACAATGGTATGCACTGCCTCTACTACACTGGGCTACAATACACTACAGCTAACTACATTATAACTTTTTATTGCATATCACAATATAATACAGCAAGCGATATTTCAACATTAAAATCCATCCAATCATCTCCATTACCATATCACTAATCAAACATTATTACATAAACATTATCATCAGTTTGTATACATATATACTTGGTCAAGTCCACAAGAATTCCTCCCAACCCACTTTCTCCTGCCCAAAAAAGGGAAATACCTTGTTCTTTAACCATGGTTTTGGTGATCTTGACACTGTCATCAGAGTCAGAGCTCACCACTTTCTTGTTGGACTGTTTGGTTTTCTTGCCACCCCGACCACTTCTCTCAGGGCTGCGGAATTTGATCACTTCCACGTCAAAGTCACTGTCAGATCTGTGAACACAGCAACAGTGTGTTAGGTGAGATAAAGACATTGTGTTAGGTGTGACAATGACATTGTGTTAGATGTGACAATGACATTGTGTTAGATGTGACAATGGCTTTGGGTTAGATGTGACAATGGCATTGTGTTAGATGAGATAATGGCATTGTGTTAGCTATGACAATGACATTGTGTTAGGTGAGACAATGACATTGTGTTAGGTGTGACAATGACATTGTGTAAGGTGTGACAATGACAGTGTGTTAGGTGTGATATCCTGTCACATTACCTACATTGTGCAAGGTAGTAATCCAACACCTTTAAGTCAATTTGTTATGCCATGTTTCAAGTAAAACATTCACAACGCATATGACAGTGGAGGTATTATTTTTCATCACCTTTTACATCATAATTACTAAACTTTTGTCTTAACCTGTGAACACAGCAGTCTGTGTTGTGATGAATGCATAGATAGAACACACTATCAGGGGACATTAAACAACATTTCCCATACACCTACCCACTCTTCTCCGAGTTCTTCCTCATAGCTCTCTTCTTTGACTTGATACCACTCTTGCTGTTATCTTTGTTCCCAAACTTGCCACTAGGTGTCACCACTTCCTCCCACTCCTCATCACTGCTGGGGTCACTGAGGTCAATTACTGGGACTTTGGAGGCACATTTTCTCTTCTGGTGATTTTTAGTCTTCAACCTTTGAGATGTCTTGGATTCCTTTGAATCTGAGGAAGAATTTTCAGTACATTTCTCAGATTTGCTCGCACTTGATTGCAATTTATTTTCCCCACTGGAGTCTGATTTTAGGTTCTTTGATTTGCTTTTTGATTCAGTCTTTGCTGCATTTTTACTTTTCTTGTCCTCTTCTTTCTGTTTTGTTTCCGTCTTTTTCTTCTTGTCATTTTGGAGGGTTTTACTGTTTGGAAGACTCTTGCTTGAACTTGGAGATAAAACTTCAGGACTTGTTTCCTTTAATGTTACCTTGGACACCTTTGAAAGAAAACATACAGATTTCATTTCATTATGCATTAATGCAAAGGTTTTGCTACTTTAGTGAAGAAGACAACATGAAGTGGACCTTTAAAACTACTCAATATGTTTTGAACATGTACAATGTAGTGATATCTGAGTCAAACCTCAAACGTAATACATGTAAATCAAAAGAATAAGAAGTATTTATCAAAGGAATCTACTAGGGTAAACTTACTTTTCCTGGGTGTTTGAGGGAAATAGGTTGAAATGATAACACCAGCCTTGCATCTAAACCCAAAGTCCTCAAAACTATAACCACTATCTGAAAATACAAAATGAGATATATTTAATCAGGTATTTTGGCATTTACTACTAATGGTATTCATCAAAAGACTTATGGTAATTTGCAAGGACAATAACTATAATATTAACTGAAATGAAATAAGGACTTGACACTGATTAGGTTTCCTTAAAAACAATTATTCCCTCTTCTTCTGGGAGCAGAATTTGGGGCCAATTGGAGAAGGGAGGGTAGCCATCACTTACCCCCTATCACTTATAGACCTAGCTATGAGTAGATGTCATGTTCAGGAGATATGCTGTGGTTTTAAATGTACTTACATGCACAAGCTCCTGCTCCGAGGCTACAGAGCTACTCTCGAACCTGCTGACTAGAACATCTTCCTGGAGAGGTCAGAGAATACAGTAAAGTTATAATTAAATCCCTTTCTATAATCTTTAACTCGAACAAACAATTTCAAGGGGTAAGTTATAAAATCTTCTGTCAGACTGATTTTTTTTTTTTTTTTGCTTGTCTGACATGTGGATTAAAAATATCAGCTCTTAAAATTTCTGTCTGTCCCATGAACTGGCAAGAAGGGCAGTTTCAGCATGTCTGAGTAACAAGGCACTCACTCACCTTCAAACCCGTGTCAATTTCATCGAGTCCTGGAACAATCTGAAACTTGTCACTGCACCACCCTACTAACTTCAGTATGGAGGAGCTGTCATAGCTCTCTGGCTTGGTGGTCAGGAATCCCCTGGGGATCAGGGACAGGGCCTGGGAGTGGAGGAGGGGGCTGTTACACAGATGACTTCTCTGGAGTCCACTAGCCAGAAGACACAGGAGGTGAACCTGGGAGATAATACAATTATAATATATTTATATGGGAAAAATAGGGGTTGTACAATTATAGGATATTGTTATGCAGTTAGCACAATATTATGATCTCACAGAAGTGAATCTGAAGTCTGATGAACTTTCACTTCATACTTTAAGCAAACAGATAGGCTAAAATACACCAGAAGGCATCAAGAAAGAGGAAATGAAATTAATCCACAAAGTATCAACCTTCTCCCACTCCTCATATCTTACCCTGTGCATGTTTTCCCTAATCTCCCTCTGCCTTCTGTTCAACATCCTCCTCACGTATCCCTCCATGTCAAACCCTTTCTTTCTGAAATAAAAAAACATTCTTTTTGGGATATATAAAACTAAATACCTATATTTTCATACTATACACTCACAAAAGCAACCCTGCCTGTGCCCCATTTAAAAATTCATCCTGGACAAATTCTACACATTTTCTAATTCAATCATAAAATTTTGGTCACTTTTTTTTTTTTTTTTTGTCCCAAATAAGCAATATCCGTTCCTTCCAACACAACTTCTCACTTTTTCTTCCCTAGTAAGTCTGGGGCCTCCACAGTGATCTGTATGGGCTTCGATGGGAGCTGGCTCTTCTCTGGCTTCTTGCTACTGCCTGGCACATCTGAAAAGAAGAAAATAAGTGTCATGGTTCACACAATTTTCACAACTGTTAGCAGATTTCTCAATCACACATTTGTAGTCATACATTACTCGAACTGAGTGGGACACTTTCAGGGCCAAAAAAAATGTATGCATGTATATATATGAATTCAGATGTGCAATTTTACAATTAAAATAAGTATATAAAAGCAAATCATTATCGTCATTTAAATCTAAAATGATGTGTCATCTTATTCAAAGGAGACACTTCCCCTCCATCCTTCTCTTACCCTGTACTTCCTCCCAGTCAGAGTCACTATCCTCTACTATAGGGTCCTCCCTTTTAAGAGCAGGGGCATCGGTCTCGTGTTGCAATAGTAAGTCTAATGGTGTGACATCCACAGAATAGTTTGTATCATGACCACTGACACTGTCATCTACATCTTCAAACCCATCACTATTATCTTCTTCTTCACCCTTCTGTTTCTTACTCTGTTTTGCAGCAGACATCTTTTGAATTTTCTTGTCTGAAGTCTTTTTCTTTTTGGTTGATGTAATGTTGGTTTTGTGTGCTTCTTTCAGATTTGTAGACCGAGTCTTGTTTAATTTTGATGAGTCACTTTCCTCTGCTTTTGACCTTTTAATTTTATCATTACTGTCAGTTTTCTTTCTCTTAACATGACTTTCACTACTCTCCACTTTCATCCTTTCTTTGCCTTCAACTGAAGGTGATTTCTTCTTTTGATTCTTGGCTTTTAGTTTTTCAGACATTTTCTTTAATTTGACGACTGGCATACCTGTATCTTTGAGTATTTGTGATTTCAATTCATCAGATGAAACAGATTTGTCTGATCTTTTTGCAGCTGCTTTTATCAATCGTGCTTCTTGATTCAATTTTTCAGACAGTAATTCACATATGGGTGGATAAGGCTGAGATGTGGAACTGCTTGCCAAAACTCTACTGACTGTTACTTTCCTTGGTTTTCCACCACTTTTCCCTACCTTCTTTGTTCTCAAAATGGCAGAGTCTGATTTGCTTGAGACTAATTTAGTTTTCTTTGGTACATCATTGCATACATCTGTAGTCAAATCCGACCCACCATAATTTGATCTCTCAGATTTTATCAACTGTGCTTCCTGGTTTAATTTTTCAGAGAGTAATTCACATATGGGTGCATAAGGCTGGGAAGAAGAAGTACTTGACGGACCTCGACTGACTCTTCCTGCTCTTGGCTTTCTTGCTAACTTTTCCACCAAAGTGAAGGTGTCTGATTTGCTAGAAACTAATTTCTCCTTCTTAGGGATGCCGTGACTAGTAAGGGAGGTCAAGTCAGAACGTGTCCTCTTTAACACCTTGACCGTTGATTCTGATCTCTCGACTGCTGCACTGACCTTCCCAATGGTAGAAATGCTGGCCCATTTTTCCTTTCTTTGTTCAAAGCCAACATCAGGGCTGTCCATCCTGTGTGGGGTTGTCTTGTTTATCTTGCCCCCTGGTGGAGAGGTAGGAGACTCAGGGGCACCCGCCTCATCGCCTGATAAGAAGTACTTTGATGTCTCTGTATCAAGTGTAGTGCTACTAGTACACACCTTATTTAGTTTGTTGTCAGACATATTGCTATCACTTTGCTGTTTTTGGTTTTGAGATTTACTTTTCCTCCCTCCTTTATTTTGTTTGGTTTTGGGATTTCCTTGAGGAAATTTGTCCCCTTCATCTGTCACCTTGTCAACTCTTCTTCTTTTGACTCTTTCTGGCTGAGAGTTGACCACTTTGGTAGTTTGCTTTTCATTGTGACCTCTCTGTGACCCATTAGCCAATTCTTGTTGCTTTCTTCCTCTTTTCATTTTTCACAGATTTCAAATCCAAAACTCTCAAAATCTCATCACTGAAAATAATAATAACAGAAATTCAGTAAGACAAAAGTGCAATCATTTTGGTTCAGACAAACCTCTTTTCTAATTCATGGTGCTAAAACTTGAGCTGCTAGTTGGTGTACTACCTCGATACTGTGGTAATAACCAAAGTTGTATCTACACCTAGCTCTCTTGCAATTAATGAAGAACAGTAAATTTGGAGCTTTGCCACACTTTAAACGGTTGTTCCATTATGAGAGAGAGAGAGAGAGAGAGAGAGAGAGAGAGAGATGTTACCCCATATGCAGTCTACGAAAACCCTAAAGTTTCTTATATTAGCAGTCCTACTTATGATTACTAATATGCACATATTAATATATATCATTTTCAGAAACCGCAAATAGGACAGACTTAAGCTCATAGTAGCAGTGGCACGCCTGAAATTTTGTGTTGCTGCTCAAGAGTTAGGTACATGTACATGTATTTACGTTTCACCACTCTTTAAAGTGCTCTGAACATTATATTGAGACACCAGACATCCTTAAGCCATCTGAAATTTAATTATGACTTTTGCAAAGGCCTTTGATTTCTTCGATCAACGCAAAACTTTTCCTAAATTCTGATTTTGCTTACCTAACATCTCTGCGGTGCTTTCCCTTTACAATGACCTTCACCTTAGAGTAGCCTCAAACCCAAATAAACGTGGTTAATCTCCTTACAGGTTGAGGGGTTACGGTAATCTTTGCCACGCTCGGCTGGTGTCAACCCATTCATGTTGCACTGAAATATTCAACCTGCTTATATGTCCTTGGCAGTGTTGCGTAAATATTAATGACAACAATTAAATGATTCCTCAAAATAAAAAAAAAAAAAAAAAAAAAAAAACAGCTTGATGGTAGGCCCCCCTATAGACCCTATACAGTATGTACTTCCAATAGGCCTATATAGCACAATAATTTATTTTATTTCATTTCATTTCATTTCATTTTATTTTTCACTCAAGTGCAAAGTCAATTACCAATCACAGTTTTTTTTCCTTGTGCAAACAATTTCTAATTCCATCTTGACTACGATGCGTTAATGCCAATGTTTACATCATGCGAATTTTTTAGCGGCATAACAAACGCTATCAGTCCACAGTTAAAACACACGAATAACAGACGCGAGGGCAGAACCGTGGTTATTTGCCGACAAGGTCACCTTCGATAACAACACGTTGCTCGCGCAGAGGTAAAAACTAACGTCATCTCAACCGGCGAAAAACTTCCGCCTAGCGTTTCCCCAGCCTGTGTTTTGGCTGGAGTGGTAGTGAAAATTGTCAATTCTCTGCATCAGTAGGTTGGTATGTAGTGTCTCTTAATGATTTTTAAAGAAGTGCTTATTATGTATATATGCACCACACAGGGGTGCATGAGGGGGCTTTGTTGCCGTATGGTTAAATTTTCGAGTGTGGTTTACGATGACTGGTTGACAGATCATATCACTGTCAATATATATTGCTATGTTAAAATAGCTGTACTCATTTATTAATATGGTGTTGCTGTATGTTTAAAACTGAAATGTCAAAAAGAAAATATAAAGGTTTAGCACAATACTGCCACTTATCTTGAGGTAGGGCTAATATATTTGAGAACATTTCTCCTAGTACCTATGTATTTAATGTGGACTCGGGTGACCGCCCACTGCGAGTGTGTCGATCTGAAAAGAGGGGGCGGAGTGTGTGTGTGTGTGTGGGGGGGTTCATGGAGACACACAATGCAGAGAGTAATGGCCCACTGTGCTGCAAGCATAAATTATTTTTTATATTACACAAGTGAAATTGTACACCCATTTTCGTCTCATTTTGAGGATTTTTACCACTAACACATTATCTGTGCGTGTCGGATATCACGTAGGCCTACGTGTCGCCCAGTTGCCTGCATTAAGTGGGTCAGTTGGACTATCTCTACACGTGTGAGTGCAACCCGGATGAGCACTTAATCATACCTGTCATGGGGACACACCCCACGTCTGTGAGGCTTAATGCGTGTGTTCGGAGTTTTTATCTCAATTTTTTTACAGACTGAAATATATCCTCAATTTTTTTTTCTCCTCTGCAGCTGTTCACTTGATCTAGACGTTCAGCCAAGCATTCCCATACTTAGAAACATGGCTACGTCAAGCTTGCGGAAAGCTCGCCAGCTCTGGTCGGTGGTGCAGACCGTCACTTCACGTAGCACGTGCATCTCGCGCTCAGGTGCGTTGTCACAGCTACAGAGGCTCGCTAACATTCAGCAGACGACGGGGCAAGTGAGGACTGCGGCAAAGAGGGCGGGAAAAACTGCCAATTTGGAACCTGATGAACCTGGTACTTTTATTTCTAATCCAAAATAGACCAAACTGTCGCTTAAAAGTTTTAACTTTTGAAAAATTGAAAAAAAAAAAATTACAACCCATTTTGTTCTTAATCTATATATTTATTTTGTCTCATTTCGAGAGAAATACCCTTTTCCTGGATTTCAGCTTAGGATGAGAATTTTTAGTATTGCCTGATGAGAAAAAGCTCCGAAAGTTCAATGAGATTTTATATATCTGATTCCTACAGCCATGTATTGTAACCAATGCGAGCAGACAAAGAACAGAACCGCCTGTACCGCCATCGGTGTGTGTGGAAAAGTCCCCAAGGTGGCGCACATGCAGGATCTACTCATCCACGTGATGAGGGGGGTTTCTATATATGGGCACAGAGCCGCCCAGATGGGCGTGGTCATCGATGAGAGGGTATACGACTTCATGTTTGGGACGTTGTTCAGGTAATTAACTTGAATATTTATCGAATGCGATATTAGAAAATTACAAGGTCGCATGTAGACGTATACGCATATTTCTGTTCATTTCATGTTGTAAAAAATACTGATTTTGAGAACAGTATTGTTAAAATAAATTCGAAAATTGTTGCAATCGCGAAATAAATTGTAACTTTTTTCTGAAGTGCCATTAAATATCAGTTATCATAGTTTTATTTATTCACTCGTGATTTCCATTCTTCCACAGCACCTTAACCAACGTGAACTTTGACCCCATGCGGTTCCGCTCCTACATCCTGGAGGCAGTGGGTGTGAGGGAGGAGCTAAAACAACAGTACTTGGAAGCCTGTCAAAAGAAGGGCGTGGCACCGGAAGAGTTCAGCAGCGGTCCCGCCGCCTGGTTCCCGCCAGATGGCAGCACAGACGAAGATACGCTTGACGAAGAAGGTGCGCGTTTCTCCTATCTTGCAAATTGCATTTTTCTCTTAGTTAAAGATGTTTTTTGACTTTTGTATTTGAAATTATCCACCCCGCATAAAGGCAAGGAAGTTCCCCAGTGAGCACACCGCGTGGAGATCGCTTTCCTACCATTTCCGTACGTCGCTCTCACTTAATGCGATTTTGCAGCAGCGGTTTACATTGTACCAACATAGCTATGCCGCGATTTCAACAAGGACTCCCATGGATGAGAAGATGATATGCCCGTAGTTCGGCATTGCGGATGCTCAGCATATGCTTGTTAATTTCATTTAGTTTTCTCGTAGATTATTTATCAATTCTGATTGTTTTTATTTGTAGGTAAGAAGTTCACGCTCACCAACGATGTCCCTATATACGGAGCTGACATTGCGGGTGTCCGACAGATGATCGTGTTTGGGTTAAAGGGGATGTCTACGTACGCCAGACACGCCCACGTGCTGGGGCAAGACATGAAGGATATCGGAGCGTTCGTTATGGAGGTCAGCGGATTTCAATGATATTAAAGAAAATAATAGAATAACAATCTCAGCTATTAAGCTCAGGGGTTTCAAAAATGTTATAACCAAATGGATCTGCACTTATCATATTCAGGGAGATATTCAATAGCTGTATTAAGTCACTTCTATTGGTTGAGTTTAACTTTGAATACAAGTATTAAATTGTGATCTATGTTCACGTTCCATTCCATTTTCAGTGATGATAATTATCTTTAAGTCATTAATGACTTTTTGGTTTGCACTGAATCGAGGCAATATATAGGGGCCTATATATTATTCTACCATGTACTTGTATGTACGAAAAGTGTGTTTTTGCCACTTGTCAAAATGCTAAGTGCGTTACTTTTAATCTTACAAAAATATGACCGCTGTAGAACTCCTATTTTTAGGTGTTTGATTTCCTTGAGAACGGCCCAGTGGAGGAAAGAAACGATCTGGCAGCCATGCTCGGCTGGGCGTTGAAGGTCGGGGAGGCCAATGTCAAGGTCATGGAAAGGTTAGACATAGGTCATCGTGAACAGTTTGGGGCACCGTCGCCAGCACAGGTGTCAACAAAACCAAAACCCGGCAAGGTGAGGCTCTGGGTATTTGCTACAGAGATTGTGGACAATGAATGTCCAATCCTGGAAATATTGAAGAAATTACATAACACCATTGAAGAAAGATACAGCCGAGGAATAAGACGCATAAAAAATAGTAAAAAACTTAAGAAAATAAAAATATTGTTTAAGTAATGCAAAATTGTTATCTCCATAAAAATGGGGTGCGTTAAAAGCAACATCCATTAAAAGAAATTATATTTTTTCCTTTAAGATTAACGCGTACGTTTTGCATGAAAATATAAACATGAGAAGTGAAATTCTAGGCAATTCTGGTGTCCGGCCACGACATGCACGACTTGTTGAAGATCTTGGAGGCGACAGAGGGTACCGGGATCAACGTTTACACCCACGGGGAGATGCTGCCAGCGCACTCCTACCCATGGTTGAGAAAATTTAAGGTAATTGGCGTGCAAGGCTCACATGAGACCGACCGGCTCCATCTTCCACCAGAGGCACCATTGAACATTTTCCATTTATTGAAACTTCACTGTCAAACTGTTTGAGCATTTGCTTAAATTATTATAGTTGCTTATTTCGCGTATCCGACCTGGTGAGGGTTCTTACATCTAGCTTTTCTGAATCAGGAATATCTTTTGTACCATTTCAGCACCTTGCTGGACATTTTGGAGGGGCGTGGCAACTTCAGCAGTTTGAATTCCCAACATTCCCTGGTCCCGTTGTCATAACAACTAACTGTATGATTGAACCAATGAAATCGTACAAGAACCGCCTTTTTACTTTAAACGACTGTGGTTGGCCAGGTGTTGAGCACATCGACATAGCACGTGACATGGATCGCGTGATAAAACTAGCCGATGAGCTGAAAGGCTTTCCCGAGGCAGACGACAAGACAGAGGAGCAGTTTCTGAGTGTGGGATTTGGCAGAGATGTCCTGTTAGACAACGCAGACAAGGTAGGGCTGTTAGGGGAGGGAGAGCGTTTATCAGCAAGCTCCCTATTTTTGAAATTGGTTGTTTATTTTTTAATTTGTTGCGCAAAGGGAATCCTGGTCATTTCCGACAGAACTCTCTATTTTCAAATACTGTTTTGTTCGTTCCCTACTGTTTATTTTTCAATATTTGGATTGATATATTTGCCAGTTATAATTCTTTAACTCTTTCTAGCTTTATGCAGTTTCAACCGACACTGACCGTCTATTCTATTCTTATAGGTTATTGAAGCAGTAAAATCGGGCGAATTGAAACGCATCTTCGTGGTTGGTGGTTGTGACGGCGCCGAACACAAGCGGAACTACTTCGCCACCCTGGTGGACAGCTTACCCCCAGAGACCGTGGTCCTCACCATGGGATGTGCCAAATTCCGCTTTAACCGCAAGGAGCTGGGGACGCTGGGGACAACAGGTGCTCTTTCTCTCTCTATCTATCTCTCCCTCTCTCTCCCTCTCTCTGACACACATACACCTGTTCTTAGTGTACAATAAACACCTTTCTCCCCAATAAACTCCAACATGTTGTGGTCATCACTTCCAGGTCTGCCCCGTCTGCTGGACATGGGTCAGTGTAACGATAGCTACGGAGCCGTGGTGGTCGCAAACGCTCTGGCAGGGGCCTTCGAGACCGACATCAACTCTCTCCCTCTCTCCATCGCCCTGTCCTGGTTCGAGCAGAAGGCTGTCGCTGTTCTCTTGTCGCTTCTCCATCTTGGCGTGAAGAATATCCGCCTGGGGCCTGTCCTCCCGGCCTTCATCACACCCACTGTGCTGGATATCTTGGTGGATAAGTACCAGATATCCGCCGTCGACGTGCGACATCCCAAGGAAGATTTGAAGCTGATGATGGGGTCTTCACAGTAGAAATCCACGGCTTACCACAGTTTGGATGATCACCATGGTGACCTGAGCCTCGAAAAGGACCGGGGTGTCAAGGCCATGAATCCCATTGAAAATGATAAATTTATCTGTAATTTGAGCCACACGAACCGCCGATAGATGATTAAACATTAACAAATATTCATTAATTTGATTTAGCATTATGTCTGATTCATTAACAAGAAGTGACATTAGTAGGATGGATGATGGACGCTTTGAATTAGAGGTTAAAGAGATTCAGTTAGAGGTTTTTAGCTTCTAGTTCAGACGAACCATTCGTGGAACAGTCCGTATGCAGCAAAGATTTTTTCTCTGGAAAAGTGGACTTTTTTTACTGTCATTATTGACCCAATTACTTAGAAATGGCATAGAACCTTGATTACATTTTGATTCATAGTGACCTTTTTTTTGGGTCCAATGGGTGGTTCTTCAGGCCTACCCAACTACCAGACACGGCCTGTTTTTTTCCTACCCCACATCACTACCCGCGGTCTTAAGTTACTGGCGTTAGGATCAAGGTCAAGACTTACCGGTGCTTTATAATTATTGTCGAACAAAATGTAAATTCAGTATTTCTCGAATACCCGCCCAGGGTGCGTGGTGTTGAGTGCTTGTAACTGTCTAATCGCGAAAGCTTAGTTTTATAGTAAATAAATACCGACATCAGGGTAAACAATTTTGCACAAAATTTTAATAAACCATTGTAGCAAAAAAGTATTTTTTCATGCATTTTGTCTCAAGTGGGTCAAATTTATTATGAGTCCTACTGCTGTGACAGGAATGGAAGTCCTAGAAATAGAAGTCCGGGGACCATTATAATTAGTGGTAAGGGTCAGACGGAGTATGGTGGTTAGAATATGGGACAAATGTCACCTGTACAAAGTAATGGGGAACGGACTACGGTTCTTAGCAGACTACCATTCCTATCACAGCGGAGCAATAAGATGGTGACAGTTCGTTGTGCGGCGACGTCGAGGTGTCGAAGACATAAACACAAGCATAAAGTACATGTATTTATTTCTTCTAACATCTTAGTTTTAACAGATGGACATTACAACCCTGAACGAGACTTAACGAGAATGCGTCTTTAATTGAAATGGAATTCTACCTAATTTATATAACAGCAAGAATCTTGATAACAGTTAAACCATGCTCTTTACCATATGCAAACCATTCAACTTTTTAATTGCAAATTTCAAAGTACCAGGTTATAAGCTACAACTGTTGACAAAACAAACGCAATAATGACCAAGATACTTATGTGCCATACGCGATATCCAGCAAAATACTTAAGTAGAATATATCACGGACGTAACTTTGAGACAGTAAAAATACCCAGTTGCTCAAACACTCTGATAACTAAATGACCAAAAGTTAGAAAACGGTAAAAAGAGATGTATTACATACACGTAAAACGAGAGATCTTACGAAAACAATGTAGTAAGAATAGCTCAACTTTCTATTGAAAAATGCACCCTCTACTGTAACCCGTTTTTTTATGAAATCTACTAACTGAACACTGTTTAGTGATGCGCTTTTTGTGTGCATGGTACAAAAGGAGGGGTCCATTCTATTTAAAGGGATAACAACTCTTCGTATGAGATCTATATTTCACAATAAATACGTTGTAAACAGCTCACAGAAATATAATATATTCCATTTTCCAAAAAAACGACAGTAATAGCAGTAAATCTGAAATATGTGCTTGTCATCTGACCACGTGACCTCCATATATGGCTATACTATGTAATAATCTCTTAAGAGTTTATTATAAAAAAACTTTTTAGAAAAAAACAGGGACTAACTTTGAATGCAGAAATGGATTCATTAACCATTGGAAAGTATGGAAAAATTGCTCTTTACCCCAGGATAATTCATTTTTTTGGCCAAAATGAACAGTTGTTATCCCTTTAAATTAAATCTGAGTTTTACGTCGACTGAAAATTGATAGCAAATTACCAATTGTTTTCGCTCATTTCGGTGCATATCCTTTTTTTTTTCGTAATCCAAGCAAGCAACACCACAAACTTCGAGGTAGCCTTAACAAAGTAAATACAAAAACACCTTACAATAACCAATCAATAATCAGTCTCAGCTAGTAAATTCTTCGTCGTTTTTTTAACGTCTTCAAACACGTGACATGTGCTATACGCAATAATTAATGACGTAGACCACTTGTTATAGGAGCATACTGACTACTTAATACAGCAGGATTGTGGATTTCAAGCTTTTTTCAAAAGGGGATTAATTTTCTGAAAAAGTCCCTCCCCCCCCCCCCCAGTTGACCCAATTTGAAAAATATCATAGAAACCAGATCAATTTTTTATTCCGAGTGGACTTTTTCCGACTATAAGGCCTGTACAGTTTGACAGCATACATGTCCGCTAAAATTCAAATGTTTTACAAACATAATTGCTGAAGACAGATTTTTCGTAGAGTCATAATAGTGATTAGTAAAAATTTGTGAACAAACATATTTGTTTTTGAAAATGACGGCCCGGGCCACGTTTACTTGCCATTGTGTCAACCGCTCATTGCCGTTCAAACACTCAATCCTACAAGAATTGGTCAAGACGAAGAATAATAAAGTAAACAATTAAATACATGGAAAAATGAATTATATAATAATAAAACAAGCCTCACGAGAATTTGTCCAAAAAATGCACTGCATCTCTAATCTGTGAAACTTCTTGGAAGTTCACGATGGAATAAAACCAAAGTTTTCCTAGTAACACTATCCCTTATTACTTTTCTATACAAGTCGAAGATGTCACATAAACCGAAAAAACAAACGTAGTCTATTTCATAAAGGAGCCATTTCACAATATTTACCCCTACGCACACCCTACACCGAGCCAAACTAGTTGACACTTACATCCATAACAATTAAAGAGAAGAGATGTAACATGGGGTTAAAATGTTTCTTTTCCCTTAATTTTATAAGATACTCCAAAATTAAATATTTCATGAAAAAAATGTAGCGGAGGAGCAAATATTGTGGAATATATAAGTTACAAAGCAACTACAAGTAATCATACAACGCTTATTTCCTCCTCTTCTACCTCTAAGTTTTCAGATATTTCAACTTTGATGGGTTTTACTGGATTCCGACAGCCGCGACATCGACACTCTGTGCACGCGACACGCTGCACGTAGCACGGGCACCGCTGACCGTAACACGTCAGCTTGCCCGGTGTAGGAGTGGCGTTACCGCACCGGCAGCCCTTCTTCTTCGCGTCGGCGTTCTGGTTTTTTGACGAGGTCTTTTTATTACCTGAAGTAATCGCGCTGTCTGGTTTGTATTTTTTAATCATACTGGAGTGATCGTCTGTGGGATATTTACGTTTAAGTTTTAGTCTGGGGGTGTCATGGTTGGTTAGAGTTACGCTGTAGTGGTGGTTCGACGTTGCGGCTTGCCCTTCAGCCGGACCCGCTGAGGTTACTGTAGCCAGGGCATCTTGTTGTAAAGGACTACCTGATAAAACCACCCCCTCACACAGAGTACTGCTAGATGTGACAGTTTGCTCGGCAGTGTTAACAGAGTTCGTGTCGTTTGTTGGAGCGACAATCGTGCTGTCCGCCGTTGGAGAAGAGAGCGACGGTGACGGAGGCTGCGCTGATTGCGACTGTTGAGACGACGGCTTTCGTCCCCGTTGCGTTAGGTGAGATTTACTGGGTTTGTTATTGTTTATCTTGGTTAGCTTCGGTGGTCCATTTTCTTTCAATTTCTTCTGAGATTCGCCATTGCTATACAAATCGTCCCGAAAATCCACCGCCTCTTGCATGATTTGTAATAAAGAATTACTCTCTCCATTCACGCTCCCTGCGGCTATCTTCTCCGCTAGCGGTGTGCTCAAAATGTATTCGCATAATTTTTTGAAAAGCTGTACTACGATCCTTAGCTGTGGTTTTTCTATGAACGCTTTATGGTCTTTACACCAACTACATTGTGGCTTAAGCCTCATTTTCCCACCGACGCAGTCATTACACACATTATGCTGACAGACTTTCTCCACAGGACCCATAGGACGCTGCAATATCCCTCCACACACGTAGCACAGTAACGCTTGGCGAAGGAAAGGGACGTAGCGGTACAATTCACTGTAGGTGCTCGGATCGTTGGGATCCGATCGCATAACATACCTGCACGTGGTGACATAAAGAGATACCGTGTCCATCCTGCCCCTGTCTAGAAGGGATGGAAGTCGCAGCGAGGAACCGTTGGTGTGTATTTTTACCACATTGTATCTCCGCCTACGACGGGCTTTGTGTAATGGCGGTGCACAGAAAGTGATGACGTCACGCACCCCTGGATGCTTCAGGTGTTCTTACTGCTGGGTGTAATTTACTTTTTAGTGCTGGTTAAATAATACCAGATAAATTCAATTGAAAATAAAATTAATATAAATTTATTCAATAAATAAGCAACTTAGTATTCTTTATGAGGGGAAATAATTTTACTTACAACATTCTTCAAATGAAAGCGTGCCAAAAAAATTAATGATTTTATAATCATAGAACAGGTTGTTCATCTTTTTGGCAAACCTTATTTTCTTTTACAGATTGGTGGTGATAATCATTACTGATGTAAGGAAAATATACACCTTTAATGCTGAGATAAATGAGCAAAAAGAATTAAGAAAACAAAAATTATCACAAAAAGACAAATAAAAACAATGTCAACTTTAAATATATTCCAGAGTTTATTTCTCATATGAATTTGCACTTTTTTCTTTCTCTTTTTTTATAGTTTTCTTTTAAGGTTTGTTTATTTATGAATTTTTCTATTGAGAAAATTATGATTTTGCCATTGATTCGTACTGAAAAAATTATCAAAATTAGATGATCTGAGCATGTGTTTATATATGTTCTTTTTGCATTTGTTAAAAAAATAAATAACCACAAAACTGTCCTTAATTTTATTTTTCTTTGAACATCTACAAAAATCTACCTCATATAAAGATTTTATATTTTTCTTGTGTGTCAGATGACAAATACAACCATTTATCAGATATCAAATGTTAGTCATTAAGTATCTCAATTTAAAAAACTGCATAATCATTGTTTTTGCCATATTGATACATGTGGTGCAGCCTGCTGCAACAGACATGTTTCTACTCTTTTGGAATCTGTCTTGAGATAAACTGATGAAGTGTTCTATCATCTCCAATTAATCCCTGAATCAACGAAGACCTGATTTTATCAACAATTTTTCTAAATCTTTTTTCTGTGGATATTATTATCATTATTTTTCCAAAGCCTACCCTCCCAACCAATACACCAACCAGAGGTCATCTATCACAGCTGGACATTTCTTATCATTTCAAGAAAGATTTTCATTTTTCTTTTGTTCTTCATTATTATTTGAGCGACTTCTTCACTGCAGCTGCTATCAGTGGAAAACAGGCCATACAAATGGATTAGGCTTTTTCTAACACTACTGCAGACCTTTTAGCACTTACACCCATTTTAACCACCAAACCCACAAATTAACCAACACACCATACAATTATTTAGCACCAACAAAGCGATACCTAGCACTAACATTCATCCACTCTGGTAGTGCTGGTTAATTTGTGGATTTGGTGGTTAATATGGGTGTTGGTGCTACAAGATCTGCGGGTAGTGTTAATACACAGCTAATCTGTTTATAAGGCCTGGAAAGGGCAGGTGTCTGTTCCTCAGCTCTGTAGCCACTGTCCAATCTGTTTCCTAATGGCCATCCTGGCCGCCACCAGCTGGGGGGAATCAGAGGGAGAGTCAGGATACATGTTGGCACAGTGAGCCGTTCCTGGAATTTTATTTAGATTTGTATACATATTATATATAGATAAGCTGTATATCATATTATTTATTATGGGGAGTCAGAGGGTGAGTCAGGGTACATGTTACTGATAATCATTATATATATTTATTGTTTACTTTGTAGAACATAATTATACAACAACAATTTTTTGTTTCTCTTTAAACCATGTGAGTTTTACAGCAACAGATTTTATTTATTTATTTTAAACCCTTTATGTTCAGCTGTGTACACAATGTGACAATCCTCACCTTTAATAAAAATGGCCCTGGCATCAGGTGTGAGATCCTTGGTGATCCCCAGAGCATGCCAGGGGTCTATAGAACCATTGGGGAAGAGAATACGGCTCACTTTGATCCCGTATCCTCCGTAGTTAGTGTTGGTCCTGTTTATACCCTGAACGTTGAGAGCCTGAGTGAATTTGTCACCAAATATATCCTTGCACTGCTGAACTGAGAAACTGTAAGAGAGAGCATGAAACACCAGTTAGGTTACTTTAAAATGACGCAATGCAATGAATTTTGATGCGTTGTATCTAGGACATAAACAGTTCTCCATGTTGAATGTTTCTTTACACAGTTCTGTACGGTATTCATACGTGATCTGCCAATGGAAAGTGCGTCGATCAAAAAAAAATTATAATAAATATCAGTATTTTCCACCAGAATCAAAAGAGTTCCCTCCATCAAAGGAAACCCGTATCAATTTCTGACAAATGTCCAATTAAAGAACTTGACCTCATCTCCTCACATTCAACCAACCAATATACAACAAAGAGACAAATCAACCTATCATATAAATGACGAGCCATCGATGAGGTTTACCTGACAGGAAACATGTGACCAAAGGGCTGGTCTGTGAGATCTGACGACTGGTACCAACCAAACTCTGTACAAGTCTGGTACGTCCACTGGCGCCCTGAAAATGATACAAAATAACAAAAGTAGACACTTTCTGATACATTGTGACAATATCTTTACCTAGTGGCAAAATTATTTCATACCATTTTTCCTTCATTTCTCTTACCCCCCTCAGCAGCACTGCTATTCCAGTCAGTCAACTGTAACTCTTTGATCATGTTTTTATATGAGAAGTCGAGGCAGGGTTGTTTATATGTGTCCAGTATGAGAGAGTTCACCATTGAGAAGCCAGTCAGAGGGTCAGCGCGCTGGGCGGCCATCAGTCCACACAGGGTGTCTATGGTGATGTTGGTGCCCACAGCTCCCTGGAAATATATGGAAATACTTAGTGCATGTTACAGTGTCAGACATGAGCCTAAGTTTAAAAAAAACCCTCTGAACATATATCATGTGACCCAACACCTAACCTGCTGAAGAATCTCAGGAACCATCAGAAATGAATTTAAAAAAATGCGGAATTCCGCTATTCCGGGGAAAAAGCTCATGTCTGAAGTATACCAATACACCTGTGTTGTATGTATCGTTATACATGGTGAGCAGATGGTAACCAGTATTCCCACACAGATTTTTGATTTAATTTTTTAAAATGTCTAATATCATAAAAGATAACAATAAGTCGAACCTCAAAAGCCCTGTTGTCCTTATTATACTGCACCACCCCCTCAAAGTTTCCTGCCAAAGTGCTGAATAAGTTGGCGATATCATTAGGAGAGGCACCATCAAGATTGTCACAAAGTCTGAGGAAGAACAGGAAGAATGTGAGAAATATTTGAAAACTTTGGAGGTAGTACAGCATTCATTTTGGGCCAGTTTATTTGGACTGAAAAAGTTTAGTACAAATGCCAGTCCAAACAAAGTAAACTAAATGGGCAAAAAAACACCACAAGATCAAAGAAGATATTTTTTCACAAATTTGTTAAACAATGTTAAAACAATTTTTGTTACCTGTAAATATTTCAGTTTAATTTATAACTATCATCAAATGAACCTTCACACGAAGTTTTAAATCAACACTTTTCAATAAAATGGAATTAATTCACTATTGTACTTTTACAAACTTCTTGACAGTGTACATCAAGTGGCTTACAATATACCTGAATTTCTCCTTCATCATTTTCTTTCCTTGGTCTGTCTTGATGGCCTGGGACACAGCATCCACAGCGACACCTATCAGCTTGTTACACATAGTTCCTGTTGCCGTGGTATCCAAGGCATCACGGACCACTGACAGATAATCTGGTCATTTACAAAAGAATACGAAATTAAATATTTTCTCTACTTCTATGATATTACGCAGAAGATATAATATTTACGTAATGCTATGTTGTCTATAGTTTAAAATATCAACAGAAGTTTCTGTAACCTGCAGTACTTGTACGTGTATAACTGATCTACACAGTTTCATTCCAGAAGTGCAATTTAAAAATTATTAAAAAAAAAAAACCCAGACCGGCAATTTATCAATTTGATTGGTAAAATATACAGCAATATCAACAATTAAATAATTAAAAAGAACTATATCATATGATGTTAATTAATATGCTGCAAGGCATTAAAAAATCAAAGCATCATTTTCAATCACATATTCTAATACAAAAAGTTGCATGCATCTTGNTGAGACAGGCAATTTATCAATTTGATTGGTAAAATATACAGCAATATCAACAATTAAATAATTTAAAAGAACTATATCAAATGATGTTAATTAATATGCTGCAAGGCATTAAAAAATCAAAGCATCATTTTCAATCACATATTCTAATACAAAAAGTTGCATGCATCTTGCCACTTTCAACTTATAAGTAAGATATCTATTATTCTGTGATAAAGGATGTAATATCAGATGTTGCCCTCTATTATAATGTATATTACATATGTGTATATGTTTTACTTTTTTTATATGCATACCAGAATATTAAGCATGTTAAGTACTAGTGTGATTTTTTCTTTTTATCTGGTATGTCAGTTAATGTTCTGTTCTAATGAGTTTATTCTATAATTATTTGTATGCTAGTGTGATGACATTAAAAATAATAATAGATGCATTCTATACCTTTGAAGTTGAGCAGGGCAAACATTGGCGCACTGGTTGCCACGGCAGCATGCACTAAGTGAGGATATTTCAGACGAAACCAGGCAGACAGCGAGCCTAGGACAGATCAAACTATACCTGTAATTTCTTGCAATATAAGCCTTAAATTAAAATTCAAACTGATCATTTAATTCATAAGATGTTTGTCTTTGTTTGAAATGCTCTAAAAATTTGACACTTTACTGTAATAAATTAAGAGTATTGATCCAATCTTATCTTAGTATTTTTCTATGCATTCAGGATTAAACATCACTTCAAATGAATGACATGTGACTCAAGAATACAGTGTTTTGAATGAATAAATGAAAACTGTTTAGTAACCTTAAAAGAACAATTGTAAAAAATTTTTATATTTTAGCATATTACATATTTTAACATTAAATAAAGAAAAAAAATGCCTCTAATTCAAGGGAAAAATTACAATAATGTTAATCTGGCAACCCTATTTCTTCTGTCCTCACCAAAGAGGATCCAAGACGTACAGAATTGGATACCATATATCTTCCACCCACTACATACTCAAGTACCTGGGTAAGACCCCCCAAATGTGATCCACTTAGCGTTGGTGAGATTCATCTTTCTTCCCATGTACTCTCTGAAGTGAGCCAGATCTGCCAGCGCCTGCTCACTGTTCAGATATCGCAAGTTGTCCACGCTCATGTCACTGAAAAATATAGAGTTGGGAATTATGTCGTGAAAATGGAAGGACCATTGGGTGATCAGTGATCAGTGTTACATTCATTTGGAAAGATTTTTATATATGAGCTCAGCTGAAAGAACTTTGTCTAATAAACAATTTATTGAATATGTGATAACTGTGCTATATGAAATGAATATCTCATCTGGAATCAATAACTTGCTAAAAGTTACAACTTAACCATCATGTTTTCACCTTTCAATAATTTAACCATGTAAAATAAACATTCAGCTACAAGTATGAGCTCTGTAAAAAGTGTGGTTAAAATGAAGATCAATCCAAGACCCATTTATCAAGATCTTAATTCTCACTTCCTTCATCATTATATCATTATTATTATTATTCCTTTTCATATTCATAATCATCATTATTTTGATTTTTATTATTTTTTATTTATCATCATCATTATTATTATTACTATTATTATTATTGTTATTATTGTCAACATTGGTGCTTACGGCGTAGGGTGGCTCTTCCCATAAAACCTGTGTTCCACCTGGAAACAGATGGCATTGTAAATCTCTGCATTCTTAATCCACTGTCCAGTGACCATCCAGATAGGATCTGCCGTCCCCTCGCCTCCAATCTGGATAAATACTGGACCACCAGGCTTGTAGAATGTGGCGTTGACAAAGTATCTCTGAAAAAAAAAATGCTTTAAATTATTGTTTTTTACATTCTGTATTGCACCAGTTTAGGTAACATTTATGAGTGGCCTGAGTACTACGTGTAGTAATCCTTAATCAGCCTCTTCTCTTGCACTCTCATGTAAAATTATTATATCATATTTTTACTACCTGAAAGTGCGTAGCAATATGTTAAACTACAAGGTCGGTCTTGTGGGTAGGGGGAAGGACTTTACCTTTAAAGCAGTATTTCACCTGAAACTTTTAATTTCAGTTTAAAAACTGCATCATGCTACAAATGTTATTATTATAATTATAATTATAATTATAATTATTATTATTATTATACTTCACCTTGACATTTAAAGTAGTATTTCATATCACGCTACAAATGTATATACTAGTACTGTGATTCTAAGGCAAGCACCTGTTTCCACGTCCTGGCATCTGCGTCATTGAAATGATCCAGCTGCTGTTCTATCCACTGATCTGGTGGCAGTTCATGTTCCCAGTTCACTGCTGGCACGCCCACCATCCCGCCCCGAGGCCGCCCTCTGTGGAACAGCCGCACACCGCCACAACTTCCCAGGAATAACAACAGCAAGACAGCCCTGGAGGTCGCCATTTTGGATCCAGTTTGAGGCCATGTGACTGTCATGTGAGCTATAGATATATCACATGACGCGAATTCTGATTTCTTAATTTACCTCTATGCCACAAAAATGATAGGCCTTGGCGTTATTCTTTAAGTTTTCAGAGTTTTCTTGCTTTTCTGATATCAGAAGACTTGTTACCTCCCATGTATGTATGTGAAATTCTTTATTAGCATATGTCCAAGTGCTCGTTTACAATATTATTATTATTTTTTTTTTTTCAGACTTGTTTTCAGGATGGTGGGGTGGGGAGGGGGTGGAGGAAGGTGTGTGTGTGTGTGTGGGGGGGGGGGGGGAGAGAGAGAGAGAGAGAGCAACAACCCGAACGCTGTTCAAAGCAATCCGGGTAAGGCTAACTAAATTGATATCGTGCAACATAAAAAGCTCCAAAAATTAGATGTAAATTTTAATTAAAATGTTTGAAAAACTTAGCCTACATTACAATTCCGTTTTAACCATAAATTCGCAACTGTAATTTAAGACAATAGGCCTATGTTCAAAATCTAGTAAACATAATTTAACCTACGCATAAAATATGTTCTGGACTTCTCTTAATTTCGGCTTGCAAGAGTGTCGTAGAGGGAGTGTGGTAGGATTTGGCCGCACGTGGATAACACTTTTTCTTATTGCCCCAAACCACGGCGCAACCAAAAATTTCTTTTCTTTTAAGAAAATCGCCAATGGTGACAAAACTTCTTTATCATCATACTCTGTTTTTACGTGCTTTGATAATGTCTCCAAGTGGACTAAAACAGACATTGTAAACATTTCGCAATATTTTATGCGTGTTGTAAATGTTGCAAAATAGTTTAAACAGCCATTGTAGGCTACGTAAGCATTTCGCAATGCATTTTTTTCTTCTTTTTTAATGCGTTTTGAAAAAGTTTCAAAATAGCTCAAACAGCCATTATTTCGCAATGTTTTTGCGTGTTTTGGTAAAGTTGATGGATTAAGACACATCAGATGGAAACAGAAGAATAGACAGCGTGACCTGGCAGGTAAAAATATCTGGATCAGACCAGGTGAGTGCATGAAAATATGGCATGATAATACCTAAGCAAACATAAAAGTTCAAACTCCTACCCAGAGGTATTGTGGCGTTAACATATTTCTTCCAAAAGTGGCTTTTATTCAGAAACAGTCCAACCAAATCCACCCATATCGAGTGTTTGTATTAAATATCGGTGCTCTCCACCTACGCACAAGGAGCCTTCCCTGGACTTTTCTGCTTGAGAAATTATTTCGCAATATCTCACGTATGGCCCCGCATAATATTATATCAATAAAAAAAGGCGGTGGCATGTTTGATATTAGAAGCTTCTTCCATCTTTTTTTTTTTTTTTTTTTGTCTATTTTCTAATCAACGCAGTTCATTTGTAGCAACGAGGACTCAAATTCAATAAATTCATTAATCTATTTATTTATCCATTTATATGTTTGTTTTTCATTTTTGTGCTGGATTCTTTGGATATGAAATCGTCTCCTTAAAAAGGGAATGCCCGTTAACGATTGAGTCAAAAGTTACCTACATTAAATAGTGCTAAGAATTCCGTTCTATTTACGTAGCCTTTCTTTTCTTTAAAAAAAACATTCAAATTTTAAGCCACTCGACTTTCTTGCTTGCTTAGATCAATTACAATGTTATCACTCAAATCACTCAAATACCTTTTTATTTATTTATTTATTTTTATTTTTTTTTATTGCTATCAAAATTTCAAGACTTCTAACGTGAAAGGAAAATTCCCACAGTTCAGTAGCTGGTTCACATGTCAAAGGTGAACGGTGGGGTTTACCTTTATATTGTCCCCGCATGCCATTGTTTGCGGTGTAAAGCACTGCGCCCCGTGCCCATATAAAACCTCACGGTATCCAAGGGCCTTGTCCATTGTGAGCCTGCGCCACACGACTTCCCACTCCACAGGTGAACTAGAAGACCCAAGATGTCGACAATCCTTCGACTTTTCCTTCTCGCCGCCTTCGTGGCGTGCGCGGTCGCCAGGACGATATCCGAGGCTGAGCTGGTAAGTTTGGGGGATCTGTGGAGTGACGATGAAGTAGGGACGGGGACCCCTTCACGTCAATTGATACATTTATCAGGTTGATTTCTAGATGTTCGATCACCTGATTGCTTTGTTTACATCGTAAATAAACTGGTGATTGAAAAGAGAGGATTATTTCAAATCTGTTAAGTTTTAATCATCTTAATCAATTGTTAATATATGCATACAAAAGTGTTGTGTAACTGGCCTTTTAAAGGGATTTAATCCTTAGTGTAATGTCTGTATCAACTAGTGTCCTTTAAAGTTGAGTGAACAATTATATACCCTGAACTCAAAAACAATGAAGCAATGAAGCAATGGACTTTGCTAAATCTCGGTGTTCTTACTTGTGAAAAAAATGTTTAATGAGATTAAATTACAGATTGAAGCATCTTTTAACAAATACCCGCGTCATTAATTGAAAAGGACCTCGGGAATCACTACGGTTATATTTTACGGAAATGTCGGACTAAACGATATAGATATATATATACTGCTTCTACATGTATCAAAGAACTGTGGTTATTCATGAATTTTTTATTGTTAGATTAAAGAGGAACACGAGTTTTCATTTTTCTTATTTTCTTTACCTTCTTTAATACTCATTTTAAAGGTTTGTTTAAAGATTGAATCGAATTCCATTTAATTACTATCTTATTGTATATGCATTCAATATATATTGCATGTTGTATGCAATGAAAGCTGAACAAAACTGAAACAAGTTGAGCATCAAAATTATTGGTTTTGACCTCCCCCCCTCAACTATAATACAATCAGGCAAGTTTATCGTAAAAGAGGGATTTTGTTACGGGACTGTCATTAATTTTGTTAGCTTTAATGGGATTTAAAAATATATATATACTGTAATTTTATAATTCCTAGTACAGTACAAGTCCTGATTCTGCTAAGAATATAAACTTCTGACGTGTCTTTGCTTGAATTAAAGCTTCAATCAAATTTTAACCCTTTTCAAAATTAGGTGAACTTTTTGACGGACATTTCTAAAAGAAAAGATGTCTGATTTAACTGTGATGTGACTACAGCTGGGGCAAGGCGTCTATCTATATCTCCCTCTAGGGATAAAAAAGTATTGAGATAAACGTGGTGACTAAGCTTCACGATAAGAGCATTGAAAATTGCTTGAGGTACGTCTGGATTTTTTCCTCAAACACAAAGAGTGCACAGCGGTGGATTTTGCAAAAAGCACCTAATGTTATAGAAACATACTATAGACCACAACCTGACCAGAAGGCAAAATACCATATTACGGCGACGGCATAATTGTTGTGAAAAAATCAGTACAGAAATGTTCCTAGCGAGTGAAGAAATAAACCCGAAGATCTAGTAAAAACTTTGTTGTCCCCCTTTCAGAGCATGCCATTTATCCGCCTGCACTTGCGGTTAGAAAAGTGAAGATTTCACCAGAAAAAATGTATTCGTAAAAGGCATTAAAATGGCCTAAGTCTCTAGGAGTAGTGTAGTAGTGGTCAGCTGAAACGGGAATGGCAAAAATCTTGACCAAAGTTGAATTTAAAGTGGACCCTTTCCAGTTAAGCGGGTTCCTTCACACACACACCCTCCACCCCCGCCCTCTGTCTGGTGTCCCTGTATTGTAACTAGTCTTTGAGTAACGTGTGCATTAAGATTAACGTTAATAAGACCAATGGAGCGATCGCGTTTACCAGCGTGTGCATTGCGAAATCACAAGGTATTCTGTTATTATGTCTTTAAATATTATGTTACCCTGGTCAAGTTTTCTTTTGATCGATTTCATAGAGCCTGATAAGAATGCAGCATATTTCAATGTCAAATATGTAATGAATGCTCGCATTTTGCAAGGTTGAAAACCTACGAGTGATTACACAATCGCAACTTCTTGGTAATCCTTGTCACAAACGTACAGTAATAGCAGAACTGTGTGAAGCCGTTAGACCGGCGTCATTTTATACGTATTTCTTGCTTTTGTATGAGAGGAAAGCAGCTGCGAAATAATACTCGACTGCCAAAAAAAAAAAAAAAAATCTTAACTCTTTCGATAAGGTGCACCTGGGCAACGCCCTTAAAGCGTGCGGTCACGTGACCACGGCAGCACTGGTGGGGCGCAATTTGTTTGTGCTCTACGACCGCCTAGAAGTCGTGCCGAGTTTCCTGAAGTGAGCTTATTACACAAATTTAACCGGTTTGGACAGAGAAAACCGCTCTCTCCCCATCAGATTTAAAAGAAATTAAAAAAAAAAAGAAAAGAACCTCCCCGAAGCATCTTGCATAGGCCTATATATGAATGGTTTTCAAAAATTATCATATAGGCCTATGGTTCTTCTAAAGGTGTCTTGGGATACAGGTATTTCTATAACAGAAACATTCCCCCTTGTTATTACTTTGTTTTTATTCATCTTTATTTAAGTCGTAAGAATTAAATTTTACAGTCAGAAAAACTTGGAAATTCGCTACTAGGTTGACGTTACATTTGAGCCATATCCGCTGCCAATTCGTGAGCCAGGCCTTGCCCCCCTTTACCCGAGAGTGCAGATGGTTAAAATAAGACTGTTAAACCGGTTTTCTGGACTTAAAACTATTGACTTATAAAATTGCCTACAGCGCCTTCATAGTCCCCCAGTTCTTTAGTGTACAACGTTTATGTTGCTTTAGACAGAGCCGATTGGAGATTTCAGTGTACACAGACTTGTGTAGAGGTACAGCGATTTGAGGTCCAATCCCACCTTATTGTCAATCACAGCAATTATCATGCACGGGACCCCCCACCCCCACCCCCACCCCCGTGATACAGGGTCCGGTCCTCATTGATTTGTGCAGGTAAGCCCCGTCTTAGATTCTGAATCAATGAGGTAATGCTAATCATAACCTGTTTGAATCAAACGAAGGACGGAGTCTCTGGATCTAAATCTGTTACACGGAACCTCATTTTCTAACACTGGGATAGTCTGGGTTTCCCACAGAGCAACTCATGTCCCATAGTTAAGATTGCTTTATGTAGTTAAGAATAAGAATGAATAGCACACCTTCAAAACAAGTGTTCGTGTCACTCTCTGACTCTCCTCGACACTAATGGCGTCCACTTAAAGCCGCCCTCCTGCTGGGCGTTGATCGCCTCTCCTGTTCATCAACCCAATCACTTCTTTCTACCTGTACACGTTATGTGATCGGACAGTTGCGCCCCTGTTAATCCCGGCCTTGCGACCACTTGAAGAAACAGCGTTGCTTCACTCTCACGGCGAAAGAAAGGGCTGCAATGTTTTTAAAAGTTGGTCAACAATGATGTATGCATCTGAAGTTGACTATCAAATATTGTCGGAGCCTGACATTTGCAAGGAGCGAAACTGGGTAATAATCCGTTTTCTTAACGTTCTAAAGTCCGGCGTGACAGGTTCTTAAATGTCGACTTGAAGGGCCTCTTTGCAAATATTTTATCTGGGGGACTGAGTTTCAGGAGACGCTGGTTCCTTCTGGCCTGTGCTGCACCCTGGCGGTCGCTAAATTTGTCGTAGAACGTTTTCACAAACGTTCCTCCGTCCTTCTAATTTTCGGAATTTAGTTCAGAGGAATTCGTCCTGAGTGGATGCATTAAATAAAAAGTAACAAAGACATTTAGGCTCTATTCCCATAGATTTTAGATCGATCTATCCCCGCGGGGAGTCTCACTAGATTACTTCCAGATAATCCGACTTAAATATCTACTACAAGTTGTAAGGAGGTAATTAACTTTCGTGTCCGCCCGGCTGACAGCTATTTAGCTTGAACCCCCAGGGAGTTAGGTCGATCTAAAGTAGGTCGATCTAATCTATGGAAATGGGATGTTAGTCTGCGCGGGGATTTGACCCGTGGTGGGCCGCTCTTGATTTTGAATAAAACCCTGTGAATCTATCTTAAAGAACATACACTGCTCATGTAACTACAATAAACAGTACACGTATTTCAACATAAGAACAAAATATTCGTTTTTTTCTATTCTCTTTAACAAACATTTTTCCCCAAAAATTTGTTTCTTCAGCCACGTTTCCCCTATAATTGGTAGTGAGGATCAGCTACCCGACTTCATGGGTTAAGACCCCATTTCCAGAGATTAGATCGATCTAATTTAGATCGACCTAACTCCCTGGGGCTTCACGCTAAATAGCTGTCAGCCGGGCGGACACGAAAGTTAATTACCCCCTTACAGCTTGTAGTAGGCGGGACGGATATTTAAGCCGAATTATCTGACAGTAATCTAGTGAGACTCCCCGCGGGGATAGATCGATCCAAAAGCTCTGGGAATACAGCCTAAGACACTCAATATCCAAACCAAAATAATTCGAAACAACAAAAACATCTTCCTCCTCATCATCATCAACAGCAACAACAACAAAGAACCGTCCCGCCTACTACAAGCTTGTACTTTGAAATTAATTGATTATAAAATAAAAGATTTGATCTATGCAAACAACTTTTAAAATAATAAAGCACGAAGCCAGCAGAATTTCGTTGCAGTGTGTTGTAGAATTAGTTACCTTAAGCGTTTAAGCATACAAGCCAGGCAAGTTACAGTAACAGTGACAACCAAGAGTTTAACTTAGCATTTACTTTTTTCATTACTCTTTTTCTAGCAGGCCATTCTTGAGCCGGCGGCCAAAGAAAGCTCGAAGTTCCAGTTGCGCAAGGCTGCCAAAGATGATCACGATAATGATGATGATGATGATGATGATGACGATGATGATGACGATAAGAAAGACGGAAGCAAGGGCTATCCCAAACTACTACGTAAGACATACATTTCTGTAACAGCATCTGTAGATAGTCAAATTCGAATCATCCAAGAAAGCCCAAATTCTCGCGATCAGCGTAAAATAAAGCAAGATTTTGCGGGTTTTTAAGAAGAGTGAAGTCAGGCAATATTTATCCAGAAACACTGTTTGATTGTTTTCTTTAAATTTCTGTTCAAATTACAGTTAATTGTACAACAGTTTGAATTACTCATATTTTGGATGAGATTTTTTATTACTTTCTAATCAAAGTTTTGCCCTTATCGCTTAAATGTTAAGCCTTAAGTCACGTCGATTCTCAGATGTTTTCTAGCCTCTAGTGGCGTCACGTAGTACAGAAAGCCTCTGATCGTTTAAGGGAATCTCGGATGATTTCTACGACAGATATCTTGGCGGAATCTTGAAGGGAACAAAACTTAATATAGTCCAGTATATTTGTAAACTGATACCTCAGTGGTTACTATATATAACATGACCTTAAACCAATGCTGTGTCATTTCGTTGATAATCTGTCCTCGATCTGCTCCTTTCCTCATGTGACCCATGCAATACGGGTGATTATATTGTCCACACTATGGGGTCGGCAATCAACGGCACAATCAACTGCTTTGTAAGCGACTGTTGTTTCAAATCACTGCGCAGATCAGTGTGGTACTCTGGCATAATTTGCAGGCGGATATTAGAGAAACTTTGGTCGTACCAGTGTTCAACTAAAGTAAATACTTGTGTTTAAAAAGTTCTTGAATATATGTGTGAAGAAACACAAGGGTGGGGCCATTGATGTACATGTACTGTATTCCTGAGGGACCCGAGGGTACAACGCTTACGATTTTGCATGTACCAGTGCTTAAAAGAGACTGGGGGGGGGGGGGGGGGGGGCAAACCCCCCAAGGTTTTTAAAAAAAGAAGGATTTTAAAAAGGTGTCTTTTTTTTTTTTCCAAACCATTGGCCTTTTAATTTT